ATGCTCATGATCATTAGCCATTAGAGAAATGCAAATCAAAACTACAATCAGATACCATCTCACCCCAACAAGGCTAGCATTAATCCAAAAAACACAAAATAAAAAATGGCGGAGAGGTTGTGGAGAGACTGGAACACTTACACACTGTTGGTGGGAATGTAAAATGGTACAACCACTTTGGAAATCGATTTGGCGCTTCTTTAAAAAGCTAGAAATAGAAGTACCATATGATCCAGCAATCCTACTCCTTGGAACATATCCTAGAGAAATAAGCGCCAAGACAGGAATAGATACGTGCATACCCATGTTCATTGCAGCACTGTTCACAATAGCAAAAAGATGGAAACAACCTAGGTGGCCATCAATGGACGAATGGATAAACAAATTACAGTATATCCACACAGTGGAATACTAGACAATGATAAAGAACAACGATCAATTCATGAAACATAACGCAGAGGAATCCGGAAGGTATTACGCTGAGTGAATTTAGTCAGTCGCAAAACGACGAATATCGCATAAGACCACTATTATAAGAACTCAAGGTTTAAACATAGAAGAAAACATTCTTTGATGGTTACGAGGGTAGGGAGGGAGGGAGAGGAGTATTCACTAACTAGACAGTAGACAAGAATTATCTTAGGTGAAGTGAAAGACAGCACACACTACGGGGAAAGTCAGCACAATTGGACTAAACCAAAGCTAAGAAGTTTCCTGAATACAACTAAACACTTCGAGGGACAGAGTAGCAGGGGCGGGGGTCTGGGGACCATGCTTTCAGGGGACATCGAGGTCAACTGGCATAACAAAGGTTATTAAGAAAATGTTCAGCATCCCACTTTGGTGAGTGGCATCTGGGGTCTTAAAAGCTAGCGAGCGGCCATCTAAGATGCATCAATTGGTCCCAACCCACCTGGAGCAAAGTAGAATGAAGAACACCAAAGACACAAGGAAAGTAATAGCCCAAGAGATAGAAAGGGCCACATAAACCAGAGACTCCATCAGCCTGAGACCAGAAGAACTACATGGTGCCCGGCTACCACCAATGACCGCCCTGACAGGGAACATAACAGACAGTCCCTTACAGAGCAGGAGAAAAGTGGGGTGCAGAACTCAAATTCTAGTAAAAAGACCAGAGTTAACAGTTTGATTGAGACTCGAGGGACCCCAGAAGACATAGCCCCTGGACTCTCTGTTAGCCCCAAACTAAAACCATTCCCAAGGCCAACTCTTCAGAAAAAGATTGGACTCTACTATGGGACATAAAACGATACTCGTGAAGAGGGTGCTTCCTAGCTTAAGTAGATACATGAGACTAAATGGGCAGCTGCTGTCCAGAAGTGAAATGAGAAGGCAGACAGGGTCAGGAGCTGGTTGAATGGACACAGGAAATCAGGGGTGGAAAGGAGGAGTATGTTGTCACCGTATAGGGAGAGCAACTAGGGTCACATAACAATGTATGTATAAATTTTTGTATGACAGGCTAACTTGAATTGTGAACTTTCACTTAAAGTGCAACAATTAAAAAAAAATGTAAAAAACAAAGAAAACAACAAGCTGTCATAAGTCAGATAAAAAAAGACAAATATTGCATTATCCCACTTAGATGAAATATCTAGAACAGGCAAATGCATAGAAACCAAAGTTTATTAGTGGTTATCAGGGACTAGGGGAGGAGGAAATGGGGAGCTATTCCTTAAGGAGTACTGAGTTTCTATTGAGGGTGAGGAAGAATATTTGCAAATGGATAGTGGTGATGGTTGCATAATTTGGTGAATGCAATTAATGTCACAGAACTGTACACTTAAAAATGGACCAAATGGCAAATGTTTTGCTATTTATGTTTTACCACAAGCAAATTTAAAAATAACTGAAGTAAAAAAAATAGGTAAGATCATAATAACCAAAAAACCCAAACCAGTTGCCATCAAGTTGATTTTGACTCCTGAGTGTCAGAGCAGTACTGTGTTCCACAGGGTTTTCATGGCTATGACCTTTCAGAAGTAGACTGCCAGGCCTTTCTTCTGAGGTGCCTCTGGGTGGATTCGAAACATCAACCTTTCAATTAGTAGCCAAGCACTTTAACAGTCTGCACCTGGGGACTAAACAGTTATGTGATAAAGTAAGTATAGTAAAATGTCAGTAGTAGCATCTAGCTGGTTGCTATGGAGACGTTCACTGTAAACTTCTTTCAGCTTGCCTGTAGGTTTGAAAATGTTCACCATAAAACGATGGGGAAAGTACAGTTGTTTTTGGAAATGTCAACTTTTGTGGTGTCATTTTAATATAAATCAGTCTTCAAAGATATCCCCCAGCTCGCAGTTAACTGTATAAGCAACCAGTCAAGTCAGGCTTGGTCTGCAGGTTTAATTCAACGAAGGGAGCCTTTGACTTGTATTTGATACACCTTCCTTCAGAGATATGACTAAGCAGTCATTTCCATGGAGACATAATTGAACCTTCCGGACAGCTAATGGAAGACTCTGCTGCAGAGCACAGATGGAATGAGGGCTGTGTTTGCAAACTAGCTTCAGAACAGGGACAAGGTCACCAGTCACTTCCCAGCTAAAGATGGCCCAGGGTAAACATCCTTGGTCAGTCTCCCTCCTTTCTGCCTCTGCCAAGATTCTGCCCAACTCCTGGCATGCCAATTCCCAGCTGTGAGCTCACCAGGCAACCTCTCCAGGGACACTGGGTCACTGGGGTAGAGGACTCTTGAAAAGGGGGTTGGAGTACTAAACCCCACAATGCTAGGATTCTAGGATTTGTTTTGTGGGATGGTGTGATAGTTAAGACTGTATATCAACTTGGTTGGGTCATGATTCTCAGTATTTACATGTGATCACTCCCAAGATGGAATCTGCTGTGATTAGCCAATCAGTTGAAAGGGAGTTTCCTTTGCGGTGTGGCCTGCGTCAGAATATAAGCAGACGTTCTGGCTTTTTGCTTACTCTGGATCCTACAGCTGCTTACTGTTCGTCTGACCTCTAGCTCTTGGGACTTGAGCTATCAGCTTATCTGCCGATCTTGGGATTCCTCCATCTTCACAGCCTGTAAGTGGGAGCCCTGCCCTCCGACCTGCCAATCTTGGGTTTGCCAGTCCCTGCAGTTATGTGAATCAGAAGAAGCCTTGTGGTCTTGCTGCCAAACTTGGGATTCACCCATCTTCACAGCCTGTAAGCGAGAGCCCTGCTCTTCAACCTGACAATTTTGGGTTCCCCAGCCCCTGCGGCTATGTGAATCAAGATAAGCCTCTCTCCTGATCCATGGACTTGGGATGTTCCAGCCTCTACAATCGCATGAGCCATTTCCTTGATATAAATCTCTCTATATATATATTTATATGCTTTACTCGTTTTGCTTCTCTAGAAAACTCAGCCTAAGACAGATGGAAAGAACATTATCCAAGTAAGCAACCTCCAATTCACCAACAATTTCGACAAGATGAACTGCAATTTGGACCTTCAGTCATTTCACTAACAGGGCCTGCTCACCACCCTCAGAGCCACCCACCTTTCAGCATGATTTTAATCACATTCACACTATCCACAGACCCTTCGGAAACTAAAAGATGCCCAAGGGAAGGTGGGGGGTGGGGACTGGGCAGAGATGTGGTTGAGAGAGGGACACAGTTCTGAGAAAGCTCCTCCAGTATTTGCTTCCTCTGACTGTGCCTTAGGACTCTTTCCAGAAAGGTTTCTTGCTTGTTTCTTTTTCTATTACTCCAGCTGTCAGGTCCCTGTGTAGGCAGAGAGTGCACTGGACACTACGGTGGCTTAAACCAATTGCCATTGACTAGATTCCGACTCACGGTGACATCATGTGTGTCAGGGTAGAACTGTGCTCCACAGGGTTTTCAATGGCTGTTATCTTTCAGGAGCAGACTGCCAGACCTTTCTTTTGAGGTGCCACTGGATGGGCTCAAACCACCAACCTTTTGGTTAGTAGTCTAATGCTTAACTCTTAGCACTTACTGGCTGCCAACTGCAGGGACTGTTTAAAAGCAACATCAGAGTCCAAAGAGGCTGGAGGAACAGCAGGACTTGCATAGTACTTGAGTCCTTCCTCACAAACTGGGTCTGCCTGGGTCTACAGGGCAGCAGGTGCCCTGGGCCAGCTGCTCTGCAGATGGAAATCACCTCCGCCCGCCATCGAGGGAGGGCCAGCTTCGCTTTCACTCTGGATCTGTGCACTCGGGCGACAGGTGCTGGCTGTGGTCCCCTACGCTGCCATCAGTAGCATTATGTGGGAGTGCCTGGCCCTGACCATCTGTTCACACTAAATCCCACGACAAGGAGCTTTGCTTGCTCCACTGCTTAACAAGCAGACTAGATGGGCTCCTCATAGCTTCATTCTCTAAAACCGGGGTCTAGCGAAACAAAAAAAAAAAACCATTGCCATCTAGTTGAATCCGACTCATGGTGACCTCGTGTGTTACAGAGTAGAACTGAGCTCTATAGCGTTTTCTTGGCTGTAATGTTTACAGAGGCACCCTGGTGACGCAGTGTTAAGTACTTGGCTGTTGTAAAGATTATGGCCTTGGAAACCCTATGGGGCAATTCTATTCTGTCCTATAGGGTCACTATGAGTGAGAATCGACTTGACGGCAACGTGTTTGCTGTGTTTTAAAAATCTTTATGGAAGCAGACTGCCAGGCCTTTCTTCCGCGACGCAGCAGAATAGGTTTGAACCATCAACCTATAGGTTAGTACTCGAGTACTAACCGTTTGCACCACCCACGGACAACTCTAAGCTGAACACTGGAGTGGGAGCATCGCCCGACCCGCGGCCACTGCCCACTTGTCCGCTTTCCGGGACCAGCCCTCCCAAGTGTGTGCAGGGAAATCATAGGTACAGCCCCTCCCTCCCTGCCAGGGTCCCTGCAACGCAGCGGCGGGAAGAGGTAGGTGGTGCCACTGCCCTGCCGCGACCCCCCCCCGCCCCCCGCCTTTCCCAGGTGTCCAAGGCACCCGCCCCGCCGCTGCAGAGTCTGCACTCACCTAGCCAACAACGGCGGGCCGCCGGTGGACCAGCGCGGGATCGATCCCTGCTCCTCGGCGGCGGCTCGGCGGCCGAACCCTCCCACAGACGGGCAGTGGGCGGGGGCGGGCCGGAAGCGGCAGTCATGCCCACGACCATTGGCTGGCCTTATCGTGACGTCATGGCCGGGGGGAGCGCGATTGGCCGCGGGGCGTTGCGACACTTGCCAGCCTTGGGGGTTGCCGCGGGGTCGAGTGCCCGCCCACTTCCGGGGTCGCTCAGAGGTCCCGACTGGGGGTCCCCGTCGAGCGCGCTCTCTGGACGCTGGCGGTGTGGACTCGGGAGCTCAGACGACGAGAGAAGCCTCGGTGCCGGCGCTGCCGGGACTCGCGAGCGCTGCACGTGTGACATCGAGCGGGCACACGAAGCAGGTGTCCAGTTGGTTTCCGTCTAACGGAAATGTAGGTCTTGAGCACAGGCTTGAAGCGTGAGCCTTTGGGGAAGAAATTCTTTAAACGTTTGGAATCTTTCTGTGAAGATACCATGGTGTCTTGGTAAAAGGTCACTGTAGTGGTAAGGCTGTTTGTGTTACGAGTGACAGAAAAGCTAATTCAAACTAATTTAAGAAAAAAAAGTCGGGAGAGGGGGAAGTGGCGGGAGGGGCAGGCACAGCCGGATACGGAGGGGCAGTGGGGACTGCTTGTGGGGAGCCTGGAGGTCTGACAGATCGGGGCGAGGGCCGGTAGTGGTTGGTGAGTTCTGCCGAGGCTGCGAGCAGAAATGAGGCTGCTAAGCAAGGTGGAGCCAGAACGGGAGAGGCTATCCGGAAGAGCCTGAGCTGGACCTAGTTTCCCTTCCTCCCCTCCACTCAGTTCTCCTTCCTTTCTGAGGACGCAGACAGGCTTTTCTCTGATCATGGTTGGGATAGTTGGCCAAACTCCAGGGGGAGAAAAAGCAGAAGCCTCGGGTTAGCCCTGAGAGGCTTCACTGAGTCTTGTCTAATTTTAAGCCCAGCTTGCACCTGCTGGAACAGCGAGTGCTGACTGGCTTAGCCTGGAGATGGGAGAGCCCACCCGAAGCACGAGGACCAGCCAGGCAAAGGGGATGGTTCCCGAGGTGAAAAATGAGGGTACTATTAACAGAAGGTTGGAGCCCTGGTGGTACAGTTGTTAAGCGCTCGGCTGACAAGATCAGCAGTTCAAACCCACCAACTGCTCTGCAGGAGAAAAGACCTGGTGATCTGCTCCTGTAAGGATTACAGCCTTGGAAAGCCTATGGGGCAGTTCTACTGTGTCCTGTAGGGTCACTGAGTCAGAATCGACTGGATGGCACGCAGCAACAACATTAACAGAAGGTGAGGGGCTGCTAGACTGCGAAAACGTTAGTCTAGATGTCAGAAGAGGTGGATTCTGTTCTGTCTGTGACACTGTAGCTGTGTGTCCTCGGGCAGGCCTCTCTGTCCTGGGTTTTCCCATTAAGAGATGCGTTGAATTAAATGCCTTCTGTGGTCCCTCGCAAAGCTGATGTGCTCTGACAGTTCTTGTTGATAATACCAGTTGTCCTTTGGGGTTTTGATACAGTATGCCATCTGGGGACTGATACGCCCCCAGTTCTTTCAGCCTTTGCAGAGTGGGCTCTTTTCAGATGTCAGGAGGTCTGCGTGTTGCTGCCCTCTTCACAGCTGATCATCGTCACCCCCATTTCTGCTTTTTTTATTTTAAACCACCTTCATTTCCTGTTTCTTCTTCATCCTAACCTTGTTACTTCTTTCCCAGGCCAGACATGGTGGGTTCAAGCCCCAGCTCTGTCCCTTACTGTATGAATCACTCACCCTCTGAGCCTGCTTCCTCACCTGTAAAATTGGGACCATTCTAAATGATTGATAGAGGGCAGCTTTCGGGATGACAGACATTACCATATGTCATTGGGTTGAATTGCATCCCTGAAAAGATAGGCTGAAGTCCCAACTCCTGTACCTGTGAACATGACCCTGTTTGGAAATAGAGTCTTTGAAGACGTGATTAGTTAACATGAGGTCATACTGGAGTAGGGTGGATCCTAATCCAATATGAGTGGTGTCCTTATGGAAAGGGGAGAGAAGACAGAGCTATGTGGAGGGAAGATGGAGGCAGAGATTGGAGTGATGCATCTACAAGCTGAGGAACACGAGGGGTTGCTTAGAGACACCAGAAGCTGGAAGAGGCAGGGAAAGCTCTTTCCCTAGACCCTTCAGAGGGAGCATGGCCCTGCTGACACCTTGATTTTGGACTTCTAGCCTCCAGAACTGTGAGAGAGTACATTTCTGTTGTTTTAAGACGCTGAGTTTGTGGTACTTTATTATGGAGGCCTGGGAAATGAGATATATATATATCTAGTATCTGAGAAGGAGCGCTGGTGGCACAGTGGTTAAGTGCTCAGCTGCTATATTGAAAGGTTGGCATTTTGAACCCACCAGCCGCTCTCCGGGAGAAAGATGTGGCAGTCTGCTTCTGAAAAGGTTACAGCCTTGGAAACCCTGTGGGGCAGTTCTCCTCTGTCTTATAGGGTAGCTATGAGTTGGAATTAGCTTGACGGTAACAGGTTTTTGGTTTTAGTGTTTGGGTCAGGGAAGGGTAGCTAGACTGACATGAGGCTGGGCTGGCTGGACTGCCGTTGGCACAGGAGAGAGCGCAGGCTCTTCTGAATGGCCTTTCCTCTCAGGCTCCACCTTCCTCGGCAGCCTCATTTCTGTCCCACTCCCAGCCTCTGCAGAACTCACCTCTATTCACCACTACCCGGCCCTCACCCTCCTCTATTGGACCTCTTGGCTCTCACTGTCCCAAATGTCTACCCACCTTCCTTCTTCCCCTTTCCCTTCTCATTTAGCCTCCAAGACGCAGATCAAAGGTCAACTCTTACTGATACTGAATGAAAGGAGACCTGGGTCTCTCCACCCTGATCCTTTGTACAGTCTCCATTCTCACGCCTCACACATGATTGTTTGTTGGCACATCTGTCTCCCTAACTACACTGTGAGATCTTTGAGGGAGTGACTTTCTTATTTGTTGGAATCCCCAGGGCTTAATAATTGCCTAATGCATCATCCGTTCTCAACTGTTATTAAAGGACAAACATCTCCAGCTCTGTTCCCTCAGCTAATGGGTAGGAAGTCATGCATTGAAAACTCTTGGAAAAACCGGAGCAGAAAGGCAGAAACTCGCAGAGTTGGCCCAGCCATATCTGTCTCCATCTCTCCTCTCTCCACTTCACACCCCTCCCCTCCCCCTTCCACCAGCAACGTATGTGGTAACCTCGGCCCTCAACACCCTTCCTGGTAGCCACTTTGAGAGGCCCTCACGTGTCGGATGGGGATGGTTAGGCCATTCCTGGGTTCTTTCTGATGGTGTATCAATTCGTTAACCATTGTTAGAGTTTTCCTTTCTCTGTGGAGGCTATTATTTGCCAGGAGTAAACTTATCACAAGCGGTTCATGGTGCTTTTTGCTCTAGTTTTGCTTACGGTCATCTCCTCTTTGTCCAGCCAGTGAGTCAGATGGTTGGCAGTGAGCCTGGTGCCCCCGAGGTGGGATTCTTGGCAGCCTTGCTCCTTTGGCTTCAACTACTGCTTCTCAGCACTCAGGCTACTAGTGCCCGGTGCCCTGAGTGACCCATGCCGCGCACAGCTCCACCCTTTATGCCCTGCTAATTAAATCAACCCACACTCTCCTTTCTCCTGGTGATACTTAAGGTGCTAGGCAAAGCAGCTAAAAATGTGGTGTTTCCTCCATCCCTGGCAGAAGAAAGCCTGCAGAAACCGTCTGCGGAACAGTGCACCACGAAGCTCACGTACCTGTCCAGATCCTCAGATCTAAATACGGGCAGCAATGCCCTGCCATGAAGAAGTGGTGTTTTTGTTTCTAAGGAAAAAAAAAATCAAAACTACAAAATCTCTAAAACCTAAAGAATGGACAAACGATGGACCAAACCTGGGAGCCAACGGTAGTGTCTGTGCCTGAGAAATCACAGCTCTGACCCTGCGTCATCTCGTTATGGAGTTGCGCAAATGTGGTGGAGTCAAGCATTCATTCGATAAACATTTACTAGGTATTTACTGTATGTTAGGTTCTGTGCTAGCACTAAGGAGGCCTGGTTGCACAGTGGTTAAGCGCTTGGCTGCTAACCAGAAAGCTGGAGGTTAGAACCCACCCAGCTACTCTGTGGGAGAAAGATGTGGCAGTCTGCCTCCACAGAGATTACAGCCTTGGGAATTCTATGGGGCAGTTCTACCCTATCCTATAGGGTCGCTGTGAGTCAGTCAACTCGACAGCAAATAATAACAACAGCGTGCTAGCACTGTTGGAGATTTAAGTCTTTCAAGAAAGTGCTGGCACCTGGAAAAGGTCCAATGGTGGGGGAGAAATCCACGACAGGGCAGAGGTTTATTTGAGTTGTATGAATAAAGGTAGTTAATTAGGAGTTGTTATGGATTGAATTGTGTCCCCCAAAAATGTGTGTTAACTTGGCAGGCCATGATTCCCAGTATTTTGTGGTTGTCCTCCATTTTGTGATCTGTTGTGATTATCCTATGTGTTGTAAATCCTAACCTCTATGATGTTATTGAGGCAGGATTAAAGCCAGATATGTTAATCAAACAGGACTCAATCTACAGGATTAAGTTGTATTTTGAGTCCATCCCTTCTGAGATATAAAAGAGAGAAGCGAGCAGAGAGATGGGGGGATGTTATACCACTAATAAAGAAGCTCCGGGAGCAGAGCGCATCCTTTGGACCTGGGGTCCCTGAGCTGAGAAGCTCCTCGACCAGGGGAAGATTGATGACAAGGACCTTCCCCCCAGAACCAACAGAGAGAGCCTTCCTCTAGAGCTGGCACCCTGAATTTGGACTTCTAGCCTCCTAGACTGAGAGAGAATACCTTCCATATGTTAAAGCCACCCACTTGTGGTATTTCTGTTATAGCAGCACTAGATAACTGCAACAGGAGTTAAGTAGGATAAGCTGATAAGGTCAAGGTAAAGTACAAGGCTCAGGAGCAGACAAAGGAAAGCTCTTACTAGTTTGCTTAACATAAAGTACTCCCCAGGAAGCAAAATAAAACTTGCAGTCATA